TTGATGTCCGACATTCTCTTGATACGTGAGCCGAAATGACATAACGAAGAGATGTAGCAAATTATACGGTCCCAAAGAACGATAATTTATCTTTAATTTTATGTTAATGTTTAACGTGTTAAGTTTGTGGCAATTCGCGACTTATTGTTTCTTAGACTGAGGGCCTGTTAGCTTCATATCCAGTGCCCAGACTAGACGACACCCATTCAAATACGGGGCTGTCTTCTCCATCCGAAACCTGAGGGTGTGTACAGGATTAAATTAGATCAAGACGCGGCCCAACTGCGGGCTTGTAAGCATGGCGATGACAGTTTTGGATAAGATTTCTTCGACTGCTCGAAGAAACAATTTTTAACTACTGAGTGAGCTAAAAGATTAATGTGTACAGAAGATGAATTTGTATACTGTCGTGATGCCTTATAATCACACTGAAATAACTAATACTTTTTAAAACGGCAGAAATTAATCTTACCTTAACAGATTTGAATATTATTTATTAATGTGTAAATAGTATACAATCATAGACACTGATATTATTAATAATTCGTTCAAAATGATGCCTGTTACTTGCCCTGAGACATACAAATAACTTGGATAATAAATGGTTATGAACAGCTCCCCGGAACGGGTGTGCGAATTGCTAGTGGGACGCAGGGAATTCCCCTCCCACAGTTTGAAGCGCTTTGTTTATCCCACGGGAAGGGGTTAATTTTCTCTCTTAGTTATGTAAACAGAAGTAGAGTTTCATTTACTCTACAAGTTACAAGAAGTGTGACAATAATACTTGCTCACATGACAGATCACCGGACATTCGTGTCTGGAGGTGGAAAACCAGGTTAAGAAATAAACAAAGATGGTGGGAAGATATAATTGTTTAGTAATATTTTTCTGAGCGACTGTTATGTGGCATATACTGAGCAGAATTAGATTAATTACAAACTTAAAAATCAAGTTTTGAGCCCATTTTGCTTGTAGTGATTCATAATATTAGTCGGAAAACTGTTCAAAACTTGAACCTACTAAGAATACGGCACTAGAGTGAGGAAACAGACCTCGTGTAGTTTTCCTCCTTCCCATTTTAATGATTAACTACAATTAATCACTAAAAATGCCAAGCGTTTTCTACACCGCGCACAGAACAATACGCTAAAACCAATCAGCGTCACTCCGAATCTAAACTACACAAAGATCAACATGAGAAACCTGACGCTCCGGCCAACTTAACCTCGGAAAAAAAGGTTCCGATACCCGGCTGTGTGGGCTCCAGATCAGGTCTGAACGTGGATTTTTACTATTTTGGTATTTGTTCTCCTGCGTGGTGTAGGTACCACCCCATTTCCATTTCTATCTTCTTCAGCATCCAGTTCAAAACGACGCCATCAACTAGACGCGAATACACAAACATTAGAGCTTAGATAATCCATCTTACATTAGGACATTCCAGTGTTCGTCGGTTTTATTACGTCCTGTCAACGTTCCGTTATTAATCAACTGCCAGCCTTCAAGTTGAATGAACTTGGGTCATATTACACAGTGAATCAAAACGTAAGGGAGAATACGGGAGGTTGAGAGTTACTTTATTGAATCAGGAAGTAAGGGTAGAAGGAAAGGAAATATTGTGGGTGAAGGTGAGGGGGGGTTGTTATAAGGGTGGAGGGATATCTAGGAACTAATAACATTAGCCTGGAATCACCCTAGGGATACTTCAGGGAGAGAAAGAGTAGCTAGGGACGCTCTGGAGGGGCGAGCACGACGCAAGTGGTGGCTGAGAGAAGACTCTCTTCAGCATCACCTCTCTACGACTGCAGTCCTTACTGTGATTAATTTTCTGAATCTTTATATAAATGCTGTACACTTTATTCATTGCTGGCCATTATCTTTGTCTTATAAAGTCGTTCTAACGCTCTACAATGATGGCTCTCCGAAGCACAATGCCAAAAGTGATAGCATTAAAGCAAGTTACATCACGAGAAAAATTAAATCGCAGACCTTGTTCTTATTCAAATTCAAGTTAAATCACGCATTTAAAACAGTGTAATGTTTAAAGCAGAGCATGTGTGTACGTGTGTGTGTTTAAACGTTCCTCCTGTTTTATATATCAGTTGCTTATCCTTTGAAAGAAAAAAAACCCAAAATAATCCGCTGTTTTTACGGGAAACACAAATATGCCTGAATATTCTGCTTCAGTCCACAGCACGGACTGAGATTCCTGGTACTCAAACTACAATCAGAAGACTTTGGATATTTTGTTTTTGCTTTGGGAAAGATTAATATTGCAGACACAGTTTCAGACAGAATATCTCAAGAGAAGGAAACATACACGGCAACCAGGAAGACTTTTCTCAATTTATTCGAACCAATTCCGAATGATCCTTATCAAACTTATAAAACCGTGGACATGTGCTGTTTTTATTCTTTCAAGCTGAACGTGAGTACAGTCATTCATCTGTTGCCACCAGTCCAGACCTCACACGGATAGAAGCGTTCTAATTGACCTAGACCATATATAGACGGGGTCTACACGGCATTGTAAATCATGTAAACATAGTAACACTAGCAATCCGTCACAGAAAATCTAATTAACTTTCATTTCACCAGTCTGTAAGCCCATCTCCTTTGGTTTACGATCGATCAGTAGTTCCACTTATTCAAGCCTAATTACCTGAAAATCTACTATTAAACTTATAAACAACCAATTTAAAGACACCGCTTAATCGTGCAATGAAATAATAATTAAATGATCTTAATGATTTCACTAGTTGGAAAGCTAATGTTTAATTAACGGCTGAAGTTGTAGTGTCACAACGAGACGCAGCAGGCAAATGATAAATGGGTGTAATTCTCGTTCAGACGCCGTTAGTACATTACACTGAGTAGTTGCAGTAAAATCTGCTCATAATCGAATAACAAGAAACACAGTACAACACATACCCCACGTATTTGTGATACAATTCGTAAGTCTGAAGAAATTCATGCTACGTGCGTACATTTCACTGTTACT